GAGGGCTGGGGGGCACCCGCCGTGTGGCGCCTCTGGCCTGGTCTGCGGCCGATGGGAGGGCCCCCAGCCGGGCTGCTGGGGCGGGCAGGGTGGCGGGGGCACCGGGGGCACAGGGGGCTGAGGCCCGGTCTGTTTCAGTGCTGGGAGAACTTTGTGGGCCAGGAGCTGTACCGGCTAATGGTGCTGGATTTCATCTTTATACTGCTGGACACGCTTTTCGGGGAGCTGGTGTGGAGGTGAGGCCCCGGTCCCGGCACCTGCCTCCTGGGCACCTGCCACCCTCCCCCCACCCCCCGCTGGCAGGAGAGGGCAGGCAGGGATCCCCTGGAAACCGGGCCTCGCCTCCCGGATCGGGGCCGTCGATCCGCACCCACGACGCCTCTTCTGTACATCATCAAACCGAGAAAAGCACAAGACAGGATATACCCCCCACCCCCGTTTTCTTTTTAGATCGGGGGTGGGGGAAGAGTTTTCAAAATGATGTATGATCTCAGTCTTGTGCAAAGGGGAAAAAAGGGAAGGAAGGAAGGAGAGGGACGTTTTCAGGGCGCTGCAGGTGCTGACGCTGGAAGTGTTTTTATTTTCTTCTGTTTGTGTTTTTTTTTCCGGGAACATATGCGTTTGATAGTAATTAAAAAAAAGGGATGTTTAACAGTGAAGCGTGTGAAGCCTGGACGTTGAACAGAGACTGAGGGGGGAGGGGGGATGGTGCGCCCGGCGGGCTGGGTCAGTGGAACGTGCGACTCATCATCTTGGGGTCGTGGGTTCAGGCCCCACGTTGGGTGTGGAGTTTCCTTAAAAAAAACAAAAACAAAAACAGAAAAAACACTGGGAGGAAGTCAGCTGCAGCCTGGAGCCCCTCAGGTTGGGGGCCTCGGCCCCGCCGTGTGCCCTGACATCAGCTGGGCGCCTGAGGGGGGCGGGCAGGGCGGGCGGCTTGGCCCGAGGGGAGGGTCACCGGCCGGGGTGCCTGCCTGCGGGGACCGGTCTCTGGGCCTGGGCCTCCTAAGTGACTCTCAGGGGCTCCTCTGCCCCAGGCTCATCTCTGAGAGGAAGCTTAAGAGGAAGGAGAAGCCGGAGTTCGACATTGCCGGGAACGTTCTGGAGCTGATTTACGGGCAGACCCTGACCTGGTGAGCATCTTCCGCCGGCCTGCCACTGCCCGGCCAAGGCGGAGCCCCCTTCCCCGCTCGGGACCATAGCAGGGCCCCGCCGTGGGACTCTGGACCGTCGCGGGCCCCGACCCCTCCCCTCCCAGGCTCCTGAGCCCGGCCCAGCCTTGGGGTG